GTAAATAGTATGTATTTGAGTGTATAGATGTGGGCGATATTAGGAGTTGAGTATGTACGTACATAAAGTCTTAGAACCGGTCAGGCACCCGAGGATCACTCAACCCGTGCGTCCGGAACCAGAAGAGTATTTATACCCAGACTGGGAAAGGCCACGGAACAAATTCTAAACCTAAAGAGAAGGGCGCTCGGACCCAGACTCAGACAGGGGAAGTCTTATCGAGTCTGCTTCTACGGAGAACGACTCAGTATGGTGTGAGGTTAACACATAAATGATTGAGAATAAGGGATGTCACTATTATCGTATAGTGATTGGTTAAATGAAGGGTGGTGATTTACTGTTAGATATGGATTTGTTTCTATATGAAATGATGGAAAAATAATAGTTTGCCAATCTATGAATAAAGTGTATTTGGAATTTATACCCTTGTTTTAATGAGTACTTTGGGTACGCATTATTGTACAAAGAGATGTTCTTACACCTTGTCATAAAATGAAGAATGTCAGAATTTTATAATTACAGGTTTCACATAAAAATAAATACAGTGGATTTTCTTATATAAAAGGGTTTAAAATGGGTATTGATTCTCGTATATATGTCAACGCGTTTTATGAATTGTTCTATGAATTATACATTGTGGTACCACTCAGCGATTTCGCTGAGCGCACAATTGTCTTTGTTGTGTGACTGTACGTACGTAATAAGCTATGGCGTCCATCCGGAAGATGCTGAGGCGGGAGAATTGGCAGAAGGATGCAGGAACTGTTTTTAGTAATTTAAACTATTTTGGGACTTGAACCCATATATGTAAATATGTTAAATCTTATTTAGCTTCCGCAACGATTAAATTAAATTACTCTGAAAATTATTTTATCATGTTTTGAGGAGGATGTGTTTTAAATGTTTTTAAATTACGGTTACTATTATTTTTAAAAGATGATGGACTGTTACTTTACAAAATTGCTAGTAATTTGGTCCGCTAACCCGCGTGAACCAGGTTATGCAAATCGGGGTGTTACAGTTTCCTTCGAAGGACTTGTTGAGGTTCGTGCGACTCGAATTCTCAAGTTGTAAGGGTTTGTGTAGCGGCATTAAGCTTAACGAAGAAGTGGTGTGTAGCTCGGACGAGTCTCTCGGGAGGCTGGATTAGCCACACGTTGAGGTGAACCAGGGTAAAATCGGTGTGCCTCTTACTTTTCGTTTTACTTTTCCTTCAAATTTTTATTCCTGCGATTTCTACGATCGAACGTTATTCACCCCCTCTAGCGTTGGTGATTTATTCTAACATATCATTCACAAATTTGATTCTATAACATAATTAATTTATCACAACATAACAAATAAATAAATGAATTGCTTTTTTAAAAATAAAAAAATATAAATACTCAACTGATGTCACGAAGTAATGAATTCTTTATTTGTCCTAAAAAAATTTACGTAAAATTTTTCCAAAATTTGACTATTTTGAACAAATTTAAAATTTTTATTTTAAAATAAAAAAGGAAGGTCAATTCATCATTAATAAAATTTACCACATAAGCAACCAATAAGCCTATCCTTTAATATTAATGTGACTTTTATTTGGAAACAATGTTTTTAGTTAACATTTTAAACATTTTTTAATGGTACAAACTAGTTTTAAAAACCATAAAATCATTGAAGTTGCTACCAAAGAGGCGAAGACACAAGTCATTACAATTTGTTAACAATATCAACCCAGTTAGATGTACCTCAAAGATTATGCCTCGAAATGTATCTCAAAAATTTAAACTTACATTTTGAAGCTTATATTGACACACAGTGTCAGTATGATCATAAAATTTTGTACTGAAATTTTGTTTCAATATAAGTCATGAATCTTATATTTACAAAATGACACAAAATATAAGTATAGGTATTAAGATACAATTTTTAGGTAAAATTTGGGGTATCCCCCATTATCACTCATTTGGGGTACACTTTTGGTGTACCCATACCATTTTTTATTGAAAAATGCTAGGGGTACATCAAAGGTGTACCCCATTTGTCCCCCACCCCCTCCATTACCACAAAAATGGGCAAAAATTTTTTAAAAAAATTAAATAAATAAAAAATAGATAAAAATGAATGGTGAAGAAGGGGGTGAGGGACAAATGGGGTACACATTTGGTGTACCCCTAGCATGGCTCTTTTTTATTTTCAAATCATATGGAAACTTAAAAGGTATCCGGTCATATCAGTCCACTTGAGTTCTACAGCACCGAATAGCTTTAGTCATGGGTCCTTCGGTTTTTGTGGTTTGGATTTTGAATGGCAGCAATAATATGTTACGGTTATGGGGTCAGTCAATTTCCACTTTCTTTACGCTTTTCTCCTTTTACTCTTCCCCAAAAAGCGTATGCGTATGCATGATCCAATGTTCAAATTCAAACACCATACCCAACATTGCCACCTAAAGTCTTCACAAGCTGTGGCCTACCACCTCTCACTAATACTAGCCCTTTCCTCCCTTTGCCCACTTTTAAAATCTTGCCATACCATTTCTAAGGTGAAAGTCTAGACTTGGGAAAATAGATTCGGAATTGATTACGCGAACCCAATTATTCGAAATTGAAATTATCCGAAAAATGAAGATTCGATCTATAATCAAAAATCCAAAATGATCAGAATCGAACCAAAACTGAATTAAATAATTTATATCCGATTTAAATCTGAAACCGATTATATCCGAACCGAATAAGCCTAAAACCAATTAGATCTGAAACTAATAATACCTGAAGTCAGTAAAACCGAAAATCGATAAGATCCGAAATTGATAATATATGAAATCGATAAAATCTGAAGTTGTATTTGCCTTTCAATAAGAATATTATATTTTTAAATTTTTACTTTGATTTTACCATTTGAACCAATTTTATTACTTGCTCATTTCCTCATAAAATTGATTATCATTTTTTAAAAAATTTCAAAATCAAATGCCTTAAATATATTATATTTAGGAATTGAACAAAAGTTATACATGTAAAATATGAAATGAATAAAGTGAGCCAGCTATTTTATTATTAACAAAATTAAATATAATAAAATATTTGAAAAACAAGATGAAGCATTAGTTGAAAGAAATTAGGTTTGAATTTATCTTTTATATTTGCATTTATAAACATAAAGATATTATCAGATGTGATAAAAATTTGATACCTTGAAACTAAATTTTAAAATCAATTTAATTACATTAACTTTATATGATAACTAAATAAATATTTCTTCATAATTTATAGGCCAAATTTTTAAAATATGACTAAAAAGTCACAAAAGAAAGATTATTTAGGGTGGACATAGTATAATTAGAAAACTATAATGGTATGTTTGGGAACATGGATTTGGATTTCAAATCCGGATTTGATTTAAATTTCATGTTTGGGAAACTTAAGCATTTTGAATTTGGATTTGAATCAAATTCTTTACATTCAAAACAAAGCTTAATTTGAAATCCATGCACCTCCCCTTGTCATTTGAAATTCTGGATTTCAAATTTTGGAATTGAAATGCATGAATTGGAATGAAATGATAGTTGCCAAACACCACCTAAAAGAATTTGAGGTGTTGAATTCATGATAGATTGATAATATTATTATAAAATAAAAAATGAAACATTGATAATTAAGTTTTAATTAGAAAATAATACATATCCAAAATATATTCGATCAAAATATAATCGAACTGAAACATATCCAAAACCGAAATATATCTAAACCGAACTAGATCCGAAATCGAAATACATCCGAACCAAAATCTATCTACACCGATTTATATCAAATCGTATCTGAACCGACTCGAAACCGAACCAAAACCAGAAAAATGTATAGAACCGAATTTAATCTGAACCGAAATTAAACCGAGCAGAACCAATTATAACATAAATCCGAAAGATATCCAAACCGAAAATGTATAATTCAAAACCAATCCGGTTGACATGATTGCCACTTCTAGGTCGAATGCCCACCTCGGGTGTCCCACCCTCGGCGTGATAGGATAGTGAGGAGGGCAAATTATGGTATTGTCATAACATTTTCTTATGCGTTTTGTTCTAAATATAAGTTTTACTCCTCTCCCAGTTTCAGTTCTTGTTTATTATTCACAAGATCTAATTCCAATCAAGTTCATGACAGGTTTTGGCGACCCATTTGAAAAAATAAAATAATTTTGTCTCCTCTTGTTTTGTAAAATTTTTAATATAATTTTTAAAATTTTTAAATTTAATTTTTAAGTTTCTTACCAATTTTCAAATAAGTTAAATTAAAAAATAAGTTTCTCAAACTTCTTAACAAATCTACTTTTGGGAAAGGGGGGAGTACAATGATTCAACAATTTCGGGATTGAAGATCATACGCAATATGTTTTTAACGGCTTTAAAAATAGTGAAATTTGTACTTAATAGGACTAAAACATAAGTCATTTTCCAATGTAGGACTTAAACTTTTTGTATTTCCTAAATATGACTTAATAAAGGACTAAAACATAAGTCATTTTCCAATGTAGGACTTAAACTTTTTGTATTTCCTAAATATGACTTAATAAAGTCTAGTGAGAAGAATAATGACCAAGTGATGTTGGACATTTAGTTGAATAATGACTAATAGATAATGACCAATGATCCTACATTGGAAAATAAAAACACATGGTCCTGTATTGAAAAAGTCATTATGCTTTAGTCATATTTAGATAAATTACCTTTAAAAATATCCACATAACCAATACTTCCTCTTTCCCTAAAAGATTGCTAGAATTTGATTTTTTTGATCAAATTCTGACACCTTTGAAACGTAATTTATGGAAAAAAACTTATTTAATTATAATGTAAATTTAGTAAAATAAATTTTATTTTAAAATATTAAATTTTTATAATATTTAATTATTTTAAATTATATTTATTTTGTGATAAAAAAATACAATAGTTTAACCAAAAAAATCAAATTCAAGCAATGTTTTAAGGAGAGAGGTATAATATACCAACACACATTTTGTACAAATAATATTTATTACTCCGTAGTACGCATATGACTAAAGTTTGTACCCATAAAGAGGTAAAACCATCAAAGAACGGATCAAAAAAGAACCCAAGATCGAGATTAGCTAGGTCATGAACTTCGATAAATACACTAATTAACCCAAAATATTATTTATATGGGGGTGGTAATCAATTCATAAAAACCATACAGTATGGATGCAACGGGTACTAGACAACGGCAGACGATTTACGGACAAGGTATCGGTAAGCGGCGACTTTCCTCTTCCTCGAGGCGGTGTTGTCGACGGAGAGCACCAACTTGCCGCCCTCCGGTGACTTGAAGGAGTTGCGAACTGCCATTTCCCCGGCGGCAACCGTCCGAGGCTTTTCCACGGCAATGCTATAGCTGCTCTCGGCGTTTGGTACGAACTCTGCGGTGTACTCTACTTCCCATCCTCCCACCACTATGTCCCATGTTATTGTCGAGCCACCCTGGATCAATAATTTATTTGGACTAAGGTTTAACTTGATACAAATGATTAATTAGATACTATTGACTTTTCTTAGTTTGTAAACGTTGACTACGATTTGTAGAAAAAAACACATTGTATTATGATGTAAATTTAATATCAATATATCAATATATTCATAATGAAACGTAGTTTTCAAATATCAAATTTTTATAAAATATATCTATAGTCAAAGCGCAATATTGAAGACCGTGAAAATCAAATGGGAAGAACATTTCCGGACGGAAGGAGTATATACTAAGCTCCTGCAAATACTCCACTCCAGTCCACCCATTTTCACCCAATGCCCAATCGAAAAAACCAAATTGGTTTACATTTTGGTCAAAATTGATCACCGAATTGTCAACTAATTTAGGAGGTTCGATTGGGGTTGGTGTGGGGTGTGGAGTTTTATCAAGGGAAGAGGGGATTAGAGATAGGAATTAGGATTCATGAGGATTGCTCGAGATTGAGTGTCATAAACAAGTGCCAAAATAAGGGGAGGAAAACTAAATAGAAGTAAAAACATACAAAATATATCAAAATAGAACTTTTATATATGTATTTTCAAAATATGAGCTTTTATATAGACAGACACACATAACACCAATGGTGCCAATATATAATATCAAAAATTATTGTGAAATATTCAAAATAGTGTCACAATATTACAGTGCAAAATCTTATTTTGAAATAAAAATATGAATGTCTTATTTTGATAACTTTTTAATATTTTACTCTTATTTAGAGTAATTTTTTTCAAAATAATTGAATTGATAATTAATTAGACTATGTACTTCCATTTCAAAAACTAAAACCTTGCTTTGGGCGAGAAAATGTAGATTTTTTTTTTGGAAACAAAGAATGGTTCACATGGTAAAAGTGACCACAAATTGTTAGAGTAATAAATAAATCAATCACGGGACATGTGTGAACAAACCTCAATGCCTTCAATCTGAATGTTGACTTTCTCCCCTCCCTTGACAGTAAATTCAGAGGCCGGTTTAGGCGGACCATCTTGCAAATCGCTCGGCCGGCTTAGACCTCCATACTGAACCGGTACATACTCCGGCCTGATGAACCTATTTCCAAATTCCACCCCAGACAACAGATTAGCTTCGAAAAATAATCGCATAATTTGGTTGTTTTAATCGCAGTAAAAAAATGTTTAATTGACTTAAGTACTGTTTATTTTAAATTAATGTCGATGATAACATTAACCTTTGGAATCATTCATTTTTTTGGTCTCTACAGTCAAAATGGCACAATAAAAATCAAGAAGCCACCCATGGGTTGATACCATGGGTGCATCCATGCTTCGACAAACACAAACAATAATTGTCTGTACGACACATATCATGGGTAACACCCTAGCATGGTCCTTTGAAAAAATCTGAATTCCAAACAAAAAAGGACACCAAACATGTCATCTTTTCTTACTTCACACCAAGCATTAGAATAATTAGTTACTATAACAAGCAAAAGATCCGTAAAACCCAAACATGGCAACATCATAACACCCCAAAAACAGAAACCCCCCAAGCATTAAATATATTACCCATCATCATCGGGAAAAATCTTCCAGAAAATCTTTGGGTCATTTTCAGACCAGGCAGAACCATTAAAGACAAAACTAGGAAGCGAATTCAAGATATGTTTTTTTTAAAAAATTGAGACAAAAAAAAGGATTCAAATTAGTACTTGTATAGGGTCTCAGCAGCATTTCCTTCCTTGGAGATGACAAATTTGCTCTTCGTCCTCTGCGTCATGAATGGACTGAACATTGAGTATACCATACTGAAGTACCATGGGACATTGATGAACACCTGCAAGAAAAAAACCCAGAAATCAATTCTATTCAAATTCAATTGGAACCCAGAAATTAAATTAAAAGAAAAAGGAAGTTTGATTGATTAATGACCTTGCGGGCGACCAATTCGGGGTAGTTGTCCTGGAAAAGGGAGAGGATGTGATTAGAGGCGACCCTAAGCTCTCTCTTGGGCATGTCCTTAAGATCAGTGACTTGGACCAGAGAATTGACCCCACCCGGTTTGAAATGGAGAAGCTTTATCCCTCTCTCAAGAACTTGAACCCTCCATCTCAGGAATCTCTTGAGCTTCTCTTCGCCTTCGCCGCCGCGGTCGTGTTCTTCTTCCCCGTCTCCGCCGAAGAATCTCCGGTACATTTCTTTGTCTTTGAACACCCCGTATGCGTTGTAGCAAACCGGGTGGCCGAACCGGTCGTAGCCGTTCATGTAGGCCACAATCCCTTGGAGTTCCTCGAACCCGGCCAGCTCTTCCTCTGCCACCTCGTCCGCGCCGAACTCCTTCCTCCACGCCAGGCACTTCACCAGCATGTGGAGGGCGTCCGGGGCCTTGAAGTCCCGGGCGCGGAGGAACTTGAGGAGGATCACGTCGGCGCGGTCGTCGCCGGAGAGGAGGGGGATGCCCCACATGGAGGCGGCGGGGGCGAGGGAGGCGAGGCCGATCTTGAGGTCCGAGAGGGCCTTCTTCTCGGAGTGTCTGAGCTCGGAGGCGAAGTAGGTGTCCTCCTTGAAGGACGGGGCGCGGAAGCTTTTCCTGTTGGGAGTCGAGGTGGGTTTGACCGCGGCGGAGGCAGAGTCGTCTTGCCGGCGGTAGAGGGGCTGGTGCATTGACAATGGAGATGAAGATTCCATTGTGTGTGGTGACTGACTGAATCTGAGGATTGGTGGGGAAGATGATCGATGATGAGGAAGAAGGGCGGAGATGGAAGATGGGGTTTTTGAATTTGTTTGTACGTGGAAGGAGATGTTGGAGATGAAATGAGTGGAAAATGGGGTGTGAACACAAAACAGAGAGTGTCAGGGCAGGGATAGATAGATAGATATAGACAAAGGTGAAAAGGTAAAAGACCTTACTATACCCCTGACGTGAGGCACCACCTAGCACATCAGCACTCTGCTTTCTTGTGACCTTGTGTGTACTTATTTAGACTTGAGATCTAGATCTAAGATTCTAAAGACATTAAATATGTGCACTTCAAAAACTTTTCTCTTCACCCCATCAATTTTAATCTTTCTTTAATTTACTCTCTTATTCTCAAAACTTTTCTCACATTTACTTTTTTAAAAGTTAAGGGAATTTTTGTTTATGTATATGTTTTTATTGATTATTTGTTAAAATAAATTATTCTTGACACTTTTTATTTTGAAACTTTTCATGTAATTTTTAAATATTTAAACTTTTTTATTTCTATACCAATATTTAAACAAAATGAATTGAAAAAATTTAATATTTTACCTCGTTGTTTGAAATGTGGTAAACATTTAAGGATAGAGAGAATACATCACAATTTTACTAGAAATCTCGGGCTTCAAACTAGAGTTTCAAACTTTTCTTTTTTTTAATATACATTTATAAAAGTAAATTAATATGCTTTCATTAATTGATTAAATTTAAACTGTAATACTCCCTCCGTCCCCCTGTATTTGTCCACTTTCATTTTTACACATCATCCAATGCACTTCTTTAATCCATTTTATCTTGTAATTTGTATATTAAAAAATTATAAAAATTATATATTAATAATCTATATGTTAAGACAAATCAAACAAGATCACACATGACTATATTTAGGCTTACACATTGAGAGAATTTGATGAGTCAAAGTGCTTAGATGAACAGCTCCAA